CTCCTTGATATTCACTAACTTTTCTGAAAGGGATCATAATTGAAGGTCCTGGCTAGAGTGTGAGAAAAATATGGAACAAAACTAAAAATCACAAAAAAGATTAGACTTACTGGTCATATAGAGACTGGTGGAACCCTTGAGACTATGGCTGTTAGTCACCCTTTATGTCTGAAATTTAACTCATGTCTGTAGTTTAAGACATGTTTAAGTCTTAGACAAATATATAAATTGAACAATAACATCAGAAAGGTGTATAGGAGTATATTCATGTTTCTCTCTCTCATATATATATATATATGTATGTATATACACAAAATATATATACACACACTATATATATACACACACACAATATGTATACATATATACACACACAATACACACACACACACACACACCAAAAAAAAAAAAATATAACAGAAATACTCTGGCAAACTTGGATAGTTCCATTTGCCTTCTAATACCTGTTTACTTTTCATGTCTATTTGTATATATAATCTATCCACTCATAGATTATTGTTATTTCTGCTATTGTAGGACTGTAAATAGTATTTACCTCTGTAAATACTCTTTGGAAGAGTCTCACACTACATGTTGGAAGAACACAACACTTCACTAAAAACAAAGCAAAGAACCTCACTATTCTTTACTCTGTTATTTATTACTAACGTATTCTGACTTTATGATAAACTACCACTTCATCCAATCAAATATAGGACATCAAAAAGGCAACATTTTTGCCCACAGACAAAGTTAACTAGCCAGGAAGAAATGGGAAAGATGGGTGAATGGAGATGGGTAATAGAGGAGGAAGTGGAAAAAGTGCTGTTATGTTGTGGAGATTGCAATCAATGCCATGAATCAAAACATGCATGAATTATTGATGGAAAACTAAATTGCTCTATAAATGTTTATCTAAATCATCATTGTTGCTCTGTGCTATTGGGTCAGAAGTGACTCAAAGCTGACCCTCCAGTGATTTTCAGAGACTACAAATGGCACAGGAGGAGATTCCTTGTTTTCTTCCTGTGGAACAGTTAATTGGGTTGAACTGCATGTCTTTGGGTTGGCAACACAACTCATTTCCACCAAGGCTCTAGAACTCCCTGAAATCACAATTAGGAGTTTTCTTAAAAAAATATCCTATACTCCTAGAGAAGAAAAGATTACTATCAAGAAAATACTATAGAACAATACTATCCTGTAACACATGGAATTGACGTGTGTCAGCATTGACTTGACAGCAAGAAACAAGAATAGCTAGAAAAGTTTCAAAGCCCTCTACTTTTAATATATATAATGCTCTTTATTTAATCATATTTCCCACACTTTTTTACCATCCCCGATTTGTTAAGTTCTTCCATGTATTATTATAGCTATGAATTTATTTACCCAAGATACAGCTTAAAAATACACTCTAAAGAATGAAACAACTTATTAAAGTTGATGTATTCATGAATTTATAAGAATTATCTTTTAAAAGTCCAACTGGAGCTCCTTGTACATCTCCAGTTTTAGAAGGATAATGCAATAAGGACATTGTCTTCCCTGGGGGTGAGACATGTGACTGTTTTTATAATTGCTTCCCTTTTTTCAGCACCAGTGGCTCCTAGTAATCAGTAATCTGAAGAAGTGTCATTTGATGAATCTGATGCTGCACTTCCTCTCCTCCCTCCCCTCACTTATGAAGAAGATGTGGATAAACTTTGTTCCCTAGGAATTTTCTCCAAGAGTTGGCAGCACAATGTAGGCAGATGGGTTCATGTTATCAGCAAGGCCTCAGGAAATATTCATAGTGTTCTGCAGCTGTGCTAATAGATGAACATTATCAGAATGGTTATCCACTAATGCCATTATACATTTCTTCCACATGTCCTCCTGCCAAGTCCTTCTTAGTGGACTGAGAAACAGCAGAGTGAGCAGCTTGATATTTCCTTGCATGAGATCATTATTTTATCACTTGATAGCTGGGGAGGAAAACAGGAGTTCAATGTTGGGCTCAAGGACTTTAGCAAAGTCGCTACTGATTAGGAAAACTGGTGTGTGTTGGATAGTGCATAGTGTGTTGCACTAAAAGTTTTACAGTTCAAATGCAACAGTTCTGAGGGAGAAAGATGGGAAAACTTCTGTAAAGATTTACAGCTTTAGAAACTTGATGAGAGTTCCTACGATATGGATTCAACTCAATGGCACTGGTTTTGATATTTTTAAAAAAATCTTTATTAACTATCCTATTGCAGGAGGTTACTCTGAAAAATTCAGAGACCAAAGAGTAAAAGCAAAGCTGACAGATTTTTCATTTGTCTATTTTTTGTAGATTTTTATTTGTTTTGTCTTTTAAAAAATATATTAGGATCTGTTTCTTCTCTTTTAAATGTCTTTTATTTCAATAGATGATGTTTTTACAATACTGTTCTATGTGTCACTATGTGGTCTGTGCTTACTGGATGTGACTTTTTTTTCTCACTAGTGACTATGATAGGAAGCTCTGGTGGCCTACTGGTAAGAACCTGCACTGCAATTCTAAAGTCATGTTGTTCAAACCCATCAGCTGCTCACAGGAAAAGGAAGAGCAATTAACTGCCTCTGAAAACCCAATGGAGGGTCAGCGATGGGTCGATTCTGAGTCAGTAGTACCCAACAATAACAGCAACAGTGACTATGATAAATCACCCCTACATGCATGTTCTCTTTCATTAGGCTCAGAGTTCTTCTCTTACACGACTGAGTGGAGGTGAGAGGGCAGACTCTTTCCCTGATTTGGGGAGGTTAAGTACAGTTGTGACTGACAAGGAAATGATTGAGTCTGATTTTTCTCTAACTCCCCAAGGGCTAACAGTTCCCACTCACAACATCCACAACACAAAACTGATTCCTATGAACTGAGACATGTTCAGATGATTCATATACTTACTCTTCTACCAGTGCTGACATTAATCATCCTGCCCAGGGCTCTTGCTGCTGTATTAATGAGTCTTCTAATTTGTTGCAATGGCCATATAGAACACACAGAATATATTTAAAATTATGGCATGTTAGAGAAGTTAACAGGTTACAGGTAGGAAACGATATAATTCAGCCAACGCAGCTTCTCAGGTGTGCTCACAGGCCCTAAGGCCTTCAGTCTTACAGCTTTAGGCCAGTATTATAAAGCTCTCTTTGTCCTGTAAATTATGGTGTCTCCTCTTCATCCCTTCAGTATGCTTGGGTGAAAGCCTCTGGCTCTAGCTGTAGCTCTTGCTCTGTGAGGTGGCAGTGTACAATTAATTCTGTTTCTTGATGGTCTCTGGTTCTCTGACACTGCTTCTGCTTCTCTCATCTAGATTCTGGTTTGACTTGGGCAGAAATCTTTGGTCCAAATAGATTTCTAGACTCTACTTTTTCCTTGCTGGTAGTGTGATTTTAATTTTATGCTGCTGAACCTGTTAAATTTAAACCTGGTGGGATGTCAAGAGTAATCAATTCCCTCATTAGTAGTCTACACACCTTACTTGCATGCTATACTCAACAAGTACTAGTCACTTCATTCACATCACTATTATAGTCTCACTTGTGGCGAAAGACATTCAACTCAACTCCAATCCATTGCTGTTGAGTAGCAACTGACTCATTGCTGACCCTCCAGTGGGTTTGGGGCTGCAAACTGTGTGGGAGGAGATTATCTACATTTATCTTTGTGGAGCCATTGGTGGATTCAAACCACTAGAGAAAGAGGCATGGATTTTGAGTTAGCAACACAATTTTCTTTATGGGATGGGCCACCAAGGGAAAGTGAATTTGAAAAATCAACCTACTCCACCAGAGTTCTCCCACAGCAATATGGAACAATGTAGACCTTATAAGTTGGTGATAATAGTACATCCACTGGAGAGCAGGAAAATACATCTCTGTAGCTACTTTGAGGTAGTGCTATCTAAATGGACAGGATAGCCAAGAATTGGCTTCTCAGTAATTGGTGGGAGTTTGAGGAATATTTGCTTTATACAGTTGATAGCATGATGAGTAGGTATAACATCATATAAGAGTATTTAATCTTGTATGTAATCTTGTATTTATCACTCTGGGTTTGTCCAGACAGTATCTGCCTCCTACTGGTAATTCCACAAAGTTATCTTCCTGGGTTCTTCTCCAGGGAACACTGATCAATTAATCTTAAGGTCAATTTGCTGGGTTGACTGGAAGGGAAACAAATTTTCTTAATTACTGTTTTCATTCCATTTCTCCTCCTGCTTAGTGTGTAGTAGATTTTTGCATTGATCTGTTTGAAACAGAGTTCCAAGGCTGTCATATGTATCTGTTTTATTTGGTCTCTCAGATCTTTTCTGTAGGTGGTGTTGTTATGTGCTGTTGAGTAGCCTTTAAACAATTTTGAACCCTGCCCTGTCCTGAGCCAGTCTCACTAATTCCAACTTATCAACCCTCATTGCCCCAGTTGCTGTATCAGTCCATCTCATCCAGGCTCTTCATCTCCTGCACTGTCCCTCCATCCTTCTAAACATGATGTCCTTTTCAAAGGACTGGTCTCTCCTGGCCACGTGCCCAAGGTATGTGAGATGGAGCTTCAAAATCCTAACCTCCAAGGAGAAACTTGGTTTTACCCTCTCCAAGGCAGACCTATGTGTTTTCTTGGCAGTCCATTGTATGTTCAAGACTTCTCCAGCAACACAATTTGAAGGCATTGATTCTTCTTCTGCCAACTTTAATTATTGTCCAGCTTTCTGATGCACAGCAAGTAACTGCAAAGACCATGGCCTGGATTAGGCTCACCTTAGTCTCTAGACTGACATTGTTGCTTTTCAGTACTCTGGAGAGGTCCCTGATAGCAGATTTTCCAAATGCGATTTGTCTTTTAATTTCCTGACTGCTGGTGTTAAGAGTGTTGATTGAGAGTTCGGCCACGTCCGCGGCCACGTTGCGCCCATGCTCGCCATCTTCGCCGCTTCCTCTCGGGGCCGCCGCCGCCTCTGCCGTCAGCCCCGGGGCCGCCGCGCAGACCGCCGCCGCCATGAACATCTTCCGGCTGACCGGGGACCTGTCCCACCTGGCGGCCATCGTCATCCTGCTGCTCAAGATCTGGAAGACGCGCTCCTGCGCGGGTATTTCCGGGAAAAGCCAGCTTCTGTTTGCACTGGTCTTCACGACACGATACCTGGACCTTTTTACTTCTTTTATCTCATTGTATAACACATCCATGAAGCTCATCTACATTGCCTGCTCCTATGCGACCGTGTACCTGATCTACATGAAGTTCAAGGCCACCTATGATGGCAATCATGACACCTTCCGGGTGGAGTTTCTAGTGGTCCCCGTGGGAGGCCTCTCGTTCCTGGTCAATCATGACTTCTCACCTCTGGAGATTCTCTGGACCTTCTCCATCTACCTGGAGTCCGTGGCCATCCTGCCTCAGCTCTTCATGATCAGCAAGACCGGCGAGGCGGAGACCATCACCACCCACTACCTGTTCTTCCTGGGCCTCTACCGCGCCCTGTATCTCGTCAACTGGATCTGGCGCTTCTACTTTGAGGGCTTCTTCGACCTCATCGCCGTGGTCGCTGGCGTTGTCCAGACCATTCTTTACTGCGACTTCTTCTACTTGTACATTACAAAAGTGCTGAAGGGAAAGAAACTCAGTTTGCCAGCCTAAGTGCCAAAGACCATCGCCAGCATCTGTCCTTCAGGGTGCTTGGACAGAATTCTGACCACAGCAAAGGCGTAAGATGCTTGATACGGAAAATCAGACACTCACCTGCCGCAGGTGCCCCTGAGGTTCTGTGAGAACACAGAGGAAGAGAACTCAAAGGTTTCTGTTGAATGCATCTTGCCTTATCTTTTTTTATTACAATGTACAAAGATTTTTTTACACAAAGAAACTTAATGCTGTATTAATACCTTCAATGTATAGCTTCAATTGGGTTCGTTCCAAAAGTGAAGATTTTGTTGCGGAATACTGCAAACTCCCTTCTATTTCTTTTCTTCTTTTCAGTTTTAAAACTTCTTGGAAATTGTTGATTCTTTGTGTCTATAATGAATTGTACTCATTGACTGTTGGTAGATTATATATTCTTCCATCTCCCAAATTGCATTCCACTATATTTATTTTGTTTTTTCTTTTTGCCAGAGATGGGTTGTGTTAGTTAGAGACCTGCATCACTATGCAGACGCGGTGTCTGTTCACGTGCCCACCACCTACTGGGGCAGCCCGCCCTGGATTTCCCCACACTAGTTAAGGCTTGGAAGGAGGATTTGCACATTTTATGAGTCAGGATGTAGACTGAATCTCTTTAAGGGTCACTGAAGGTGCTTCCCTGCCGCCCCCCCGCCCCCCGCCCCCAGGAGTGAGGCTGTCCCAGAGGCAGGGAAGGGACTTGGACAGGGCTTGGGGCTGCCTGTCATCTAAGTGTGGGACAGGGGGCCTCGGGTTATGTAATGGGATATGGGACTCTCCCTTGCAGAGACTCTAGAGTGAGATCCCAGTGCTTGCCTGTCACATTGATTTCCACATAGGATACGCATGGGAATACTACAACCATGTCCTTCCCCTCATCCAGAGGGTCTGTTCTATCCATTTGGAGGTAAAATCACAATGTTTTGTTTCTTTCTCAAATTGTCAGCACTGACTGTCATTCCTTATAACCTTTCTTTCCCTCTCCCTCCCAATTGAGTTCTGGCATGATTTTTCTTGTGTTCACGTTCTAAATAAACATTTTTCTCAAATGGAGAATCTCCATTTTTTTGAAGGCGGCTTCCTGAAAAAAAAAAAAAAAAGAGTGTTGATTGTGCAGCCGAGCAAGCTGTAATTGTTAAAAACCTCAATCTCTTCTCCATATATCATGGTGCTACCAATTGGCTCATTGGTGAGGATCTTTGTCTTCTTGATGTTAAGCTTTAATCCATATTACAGACAACAGTTCTTGACCTTCTGCAGCAAGTGCTTCATCTGCATAACATATGTTACTGATGAGTCTTCCTCCAATCCTGATGCCACATTTCTCATAAAGCCCTGCTTCCTGAATGATCTTTTCTGCATATTACTTTAATAGGTATGGAGACAGTATGCATCCCTGACACACTCCTTTCCTGATTTTGAACCAAGTAGTGCTTCCCTGCTCTGTTCTGAGGACTGCTCGCTGGTACAAGTATGTTGTGTTTGCCTTTGAGGTGAGCATGGCTCATACTGACCTGATGAACAAAAGGCCTGAAGCCCTTCTACAACTATTGACATAGATCAAAGTTCATAGAGTTTCCGGAGGCATGTTAGTGGATGCCACTCCTGCTTCCAAAGGTCCAAGTATAGGTTTCACATAAGCAGAATCAAGTGTTCTGAGATTTCCATTTTCCTCAAGGTTAGCTTTTTTTGTTGTGATCCACACAGGTATATTTTCTAAGCTGTCACCTTTGGCCGGTCTGTAGTAAAACTGGTAGATAGGGGGGAGAGGGAAGGAGTATTTCCAGGTAAAATTTGGTCAAGACATTCTTCTGTTTAAAAGCTTTCACTGTTTCCCTACTGCTTAACAGTTACAATCTAATGCCATAAGATTAGATCTAGGCCATTGCTATCATATTAAAAATTAAAACACAGATTGCGAAGCATCAATCTAGGACTGAATTTATTTTTCAGGTACATTTTAAAGACATTCCAATTATCTATCAAAAGCCAGAATCAAGAGATTTGACCTAAATATTTTATTTTCTGTCTGTAATTAGTGACATTTTTACATTAAATATGTGTAAATTAGTTATGGCTACCTTATTTAGATTTAGTATCAATTGTCCACTTAGCAATCTGCCCTGTGTTAGATTCCTCTGGGATGATATTTTAAATCCAGCTGCTGCTGAAAAGTTTAAGTCTTAGGGGAACTCTGGTGGCCTAGTGGCAAGAAGTTGCACTACAATCCCAGAGGTGCATGGTTTGAATCCACCAGATGCTTTGCTGGAGAAGGAGGGACAATCTTCTCCTGTATCAGTCAAATCTGATTTGATGTTACACGCACAAAAAGTAATAAAAGTTAATTTAAAAAGTCTAAGTCTTGCTTCCTCCAACCTCTCAGCTGCTAGAAGATGGGAAACGTGAGCAACTAAATGACACTTCTGATGCAAACTCACACATATGAAGATATTAATAATCATTGATATATTAAGAATATTTTTTATGTTGGTTGGAGAACTATGAGGTACATTCTACACAGCTCCTTAGAGTTGTATTACATGGAGTGGTATTACATTTTCCCAAAGCAGTAACCAGATCCACAATACACTCTTGGTACTTTTATTCTCATTTTTCAGATTGTAAAACTGAACAAAGAGATTAAGTAAATTTCCTAAGGTCATACAACTTACCTGTGGGCAAACTTGTCACTAGGCCACCATAACTTCATAGCGAGTGAGAAACTCAATTATCAAATTCATTGCTTCTGTAGGTTTTCTGGAGGCTGTAAATAACAATGGGTGGAATGGGGTGGGGAAGATTGTCTATCCTTCTCCTGCAGAACCACCAGAGGATTCAGAACATCATAAAAGCACCATCTTTGAGTTAGAAGTGGTACTCACTCCAGACAATGCCACCACAAGTCCCTATAAATAGGATAGAAGCTTTTCCTTTTACATCAGAAAGGAGAACTTAAATAGTGTGACTGAGGGCCCTATTTCAGATATTCTGACTGAATCTTAGAGAAGGATGAGATTAGCACTTTCGATCTTTAGCAAACATTCCAAATGATCCTATGCACATCGATATTTGATGCCAAACTCTTAAAGCTTTGCAAAATTTGGGAGTTATGTCATCTGAACAAAGGAAATATAAATTCCATAAACCTGGTGGAAAACAGAACATATGTGAGACAGAAATTTGTTAGGAAAGGAAAAGGCTACTATTTTCTTCTAAAATAAGTGATAGCTGATCAGACTAGCTTTCCAAAGGCAGAAAAACAAAGCCATACCATTAATTTCCTGCTCTCACAAATTTCACTTCATTTTCTTTAGAAGAGAGTAGACTCAATTTTTGAGACTGTTCATTTTTGAAGACACTCTAGTGGCATGATCTGTGGTGTGTTGTGTTGCTCAACAAGAGGCCAAGTGTCTTTAGCAGTTTGAATCCACCAGAAGCTTGTGGGAGAGATGAGTAATCTTCTCCCATTAAGATTTACAGCCTTGAGAGCTAAGCGTGGATAGAGTGGAGTGCAGACGGATAGAGCTGAGAGTGGACAGACAGAGCTGAGCAAGCAGACAGATGGAATTTAAGTGAGAACTATTATTAAAATAATAAGGGAGCAGCGGGCCTTGGTGGGGAGCAACAAGCCTTGGCAGGAAGCAGCGAGACTTGGCAAGGAGCAGTGAGTTGCACTACCAGGTGTGGGCCCACCACCAGGAACAAGTAGGATAGCAAGAATTTGAATAAGGTACTTAGAAGGGGATCACTGCTGATTGCTGGACCAATTGGGGACCCCTCACCTTAAGCGGGAGGGAGTGGGTCAGCTGGAGCTCAACTGAGGTGGCAGACCAAGTTCTTAAGAGGAAAACTAAGGCTTCCTGGTTTTCCATTAAGGTCCCATCTCCCCGTAGGGTCTGTGTGTGTCCACATGTGTGCCCACCCTACATGCTTCTGAGTGTACATCCACCCTACTGCATTCCACACGTGTGCTTGTCCAACCTTCTTCTGGAGCAGTGACATCTGATTAAGAACCCACTATTGCCCCAGGCACAAAAACCTCTACCACAGCAATGTCACAAAAGAAGCAAGTTACCTCATTTCCTACACAAGCCCAAAGCAAAATATCACACCCCCCCAAAAAATAACACACTATCAAAGGATTGCCTAAAGCCAGAAAGTCTGATGGAACTTTCTGACACAAGAGTTTAAAAAAACTAATGATTGAATATTTTCAATGGATGAAAGACAAACTTGAAGAATTACAGGACACTGCAAGCAAAAACTAGGAAGAGCTAAAAAAAAAATCCAAAACAATGCAGATAAAACAAATGAGGCATTAGAGGTACCGGAAAACAAGAAACCACGATCCAAAAGATGAGGTCCAATGTTTCAGATGCTGTCAACATGATGGAAGGAAACATGAAATGCCATCAAGACTGAGGAAGACCTGGAAAATGAGGGGCCATGTGAGCCATGGCCCCATCTGCATTGGGAAGCACCAGAAGCATCCTGGAGGCTGAGGTAATGCTGGTGGCTTGCATCCCCACAGGGTCAACTTTGACAAATACCATTCCAGGTTATTTTGGAAAGGTTGGTATGAGACATTACCACCTGAAAAGGAATCAGAGCTTCTGCCTAACTGTTAAACTTGACAAATTATGGACTTTGGTCAGTGAGTGGACTAGGGTAAATGCTGCAAAAAACAAGACTGGAGGTGCTCCATCATTGATATGATTTGATCAGGTTACTACAAAGTTTTGCAGAAAGGAAAGCTCCCAAAACAAACAGTCACTGTGAAGGCCAAATTCTTCACCAGAAGAGCTGAGGAGAAGATTGGGGGGGGAGGGGTGCTGTGTCCTGTTGGCTTGAGGCTGTGTTAATTACACAGATGTTGTTGAATTAAATGTTTTTACCTTACAATCTGATCTTTGGTGGCATCTGTATCCACATCACTCCTCCTGCAGCTAATGCTGAGGAGCATCAGGAACTCTTAAGTATGGGGATCTCTGTTGCCCTGCTGCATTAGC